TCATACACTAGGGGGGAACATAGAAAGCATACCCTAGACGATGACAGAGAAATCATACACTAGGGGGGAACATAGAAAGCATACCCTAGACGATGACAGAGAAACCCAATCCTAAGGGGGTGCCATAGAAATCATACTCTTAGGGGGTGACAAAGAAATCATACTCTAAGGGGTGACATAGAAATCATACTCTACGGGGTGCCATAGAAACCATACTCTAAGTTGTACCATAGAAATCATGAAATAGAAATCATGACATAGAAATCATACTCTAGGGGGTACCATAGAAATCATGACATAGAAATCATACACTAGGGGGTGACATAGAAATCATATTCTAGGGGGTACCATAGAAACCATGACATAGAAACCATACTCTAGGGGGTGCCATAGAAACTATAATCTAGGGGTTACCATAGAAATCATGACATAGAAATCATACTCTAGAGAGTGACATATAAATCATATTCTCGGGGGTGACATAGAAATCATATATTAGGGTGTGACAGAAAATCATACCCTAGACGATGACAGAGAAATCATACTCTAGAGATTAACATAGAAGTCACACTCTGGAAGGTGACGGAGAAATCATACACTAGAGGGTGACAGAGAAATCATACCCAAAGGGGTGACAGAGAAATCATACCCTAGACGATGAGAGAGAAATCTGCATACTCTAGGGTGTGACTAGAGAAATCATACTCCATAGGGTGACAGGTAAAAAGGGAGACAATTTCGTGGAGGTGGAAGAAAAGACTTTCCCTAGCAGGAATGCACAATATACATGTAAATGTGCATGCCTTATAGAAATTTCAGAATGACATTATCACTGTAGGCATCATAAACAACAAAGTTATAGGTAAATAAAAACATTATGAATGGAACTGACAGACTTTTGTCTGAACCAGCTGATGTGGAGGTCTGTTTGGTGACCAATCAGCAGTCATGATTGATTCATCATCGTGTGACTGTTGCTAAGCAATATTTTGCCAAAAAAGACCTGAAGCATAACTACAATAGCCCGACAGTCTACATTGTAACTGATGAGCACATATGTACGCCAGCTTGTTTTTGTGGGTAAACCAGTCTTAGTGATTCTGTAAACCTTGTAGCTTTAATTGTGAAGGGATCAAAGCAGCCCGCTAATATCAATTAGTCCCTGGGTCAACCGAGTCATTTCATTAATTGTTTTTTCCCATTTTATTGTAAGGTAGGTCCTCAATATGAGAGCCTACAGAAAACACTAGGGTTGGTATATAACATATATCTCCCATCTGATTGACAAGGATGTGTGGCTTAAAATCTGAAGGTCATGAACACATGTTCATCTGTCTGTACCATGCTGACAAGGATATAGACAACAATGCTCAAACATATTCCTGCTTATTCTCCAAATATTTTAGAAGATATATGTAACTGAAATATTTTAATGCAAAGGGTCATGAAAGATTTTCCCACTTGGAGTAGTCTCCCTTGGATATAGAAGATAAGGCAACCTAAACAAGTTTACTTTCTGATTCCGAGCTATTTCTTTTGGCGGTGTAACTGTCTTTCATTCTGATTATGTGTTGACAGGAGTAGAATGAGTGTAGGATTGGCAGCTGGATAGTTCCTACAGTAAGTTTGAATTTTAGACTCGCACTGTAATTCTGTAAAATGTATGGTAAGATATGTTTTACATGAAATACATCTGTAGAAACGAGATATCAGGATATATTCTTCACCTTAAAGAATTACCAGAACAAACTTATAATGCATGCCTCTTTCCTCCAACAAATAAAAGTCAAACATGAAATTGAAACACATCTTCATGACAACAAAATCATGTCTTCTTTAAAGGCACAAAAGAGATGTCCCCATATACCACAAACACAGCAGGCAATTAGTCTCCAGCTACAAACGAGGATTGTATAGTGTACTGCGTATAGCTAACACATGCAAAGCCGACTAGAGCAATCCTGAATGTATATCATTGTTCAGGGTCACAATGTTCAGAAACCTCTTAAGCTCATCTCCACAGGGAAATTCTGATTCTATTTCACATCATTATTGATATAAACTTGATATTAGTATACTGCTAAAACACACCACAAACTGTACATTGTAAATAGTCATCAAACAGCAGCCTATTCTCATCAGGATGGCTGCTCTACTGTCACAACATTAATCAAGTTAAATTGTTAAAAATTGTATTTTTTCTGGCTGCAAAAAATGCATTTAATTAATTTTCAACACTAGTGCATTACTAAAATCGATAAAACCAGCACTTGTAATTTAGGGAGGGGACATTATACCTATAATGTGGAGGAGATGAAATCTCTACCTGTAGTCATACTCACTCCATTCCACAATTCATTGCTCCCATGCCCTTCAGCTGACATACTCCAGGGTTAAGTATTGCAGGTCAAAGTCCTACGATTTGTCCCCATGTTATTGTGGTATTTAGCAAAGGTCACATCTCTGTCTGTACATAGCAGTATGTACCTGATTACAACACAACAGTTATATCAAGTGAACCACACATTTACCATACCCTTAAAAAATAAAATAAATTCTATCATACGACAATTTTAAAAATAGTTCCTCCTAACATATAGTCTCAAAAGGGTGGTCGGGTGGCGCAGTGCATAGCACACCTGTCTTTCAACAAGGCGCCCGGGGTTCGATTCCCCAATCTGAATCGGTTGTGAAAAGGTATTGGGTCACCTGCCAAACCACGTGGGTTTTCTCCGGGTACTCCGGTTTCCTCCCACACTAAGACCCTCGCACACTAACATCTGGGCCATCACCTGCCCAACTACGTGGGTTTTCTCCGGGTCCTCCGGTTTCCTCCCACACTAAGACCCCCGCACACTAACATCTGGGCCAACAAGAGTGATTAATATAAGCTGCAAAAACTTGTTTCAAAATTGTTGTAAAATAAATAAAGTTGATACTTTTATACATGTAGTATGTATTTTAATTGATCACGTACAGCAATATCTGACATATATTTACACTTATTGACAATTGACCTGATGTTACCTTTATCAACAGGTGTGTAGATATCAGATAATACCCTACCTGAGTAGATTATACAGGTAAGTCAATAAAGGCAGTGTAGCACTGTGTCGTGATGTAGATCATAACTACAAACTTCTAATTATAGTTCTGGGTTAATTATATATAGGTCTAAAAAACCTTCACCATGAAACAAAATATATTAAATACTTCACATGAAAAGAAATAGACTTTATGACATCACTCACATCAGCACAGCCAATGACATGCTTGATCAAGAGTTTCATTGAAGAATTTGTTGTCTGTTGGTTGTTGATTACCTGACCTATTCAAGTCCTCTTAACACAAGATAAAACCACCCGAGACAACTTCTACCTTGTAAATCAATGTCAGCACACCTGTGATAATAATAACAATATGCAACATTTGATATAGTGCCCTATCTAGCTAACATAAGCCACTCTAAAGCGCTTTAGAGTACATAGATATACAATTAATTCAATTAGCATATACATTAATCAATACAATTTTTGAGGAATTCCCAGGAGCTGCCTTATCAGGCCCTAACTACTAGTCCTATGCCACCTGGCTAATATCACCCTATCTGTGTATGCCTGCGTGTGTGCTGGAGATGTATCGAGTTCTGTTTTGTAGTGGGACCGTTCTTCCAACGGCATCTTTTATAGTGCCACCTCACTTGAATGCTACAGCACAGATACTGCAACATCCACCCCAGACCATTTTTTACTCCACCTAGGAGTTGTGTGGGCAGGAAAAAAACACTTTCTCTGATATTCCATGCGTGCGACAACTTCGAGGATCGAACCCCGGCCGCCTGTGTGGAAGGCCGAAGTGTTAACCACTCGACCAATCCGCCCATATCCTCTAAATTGTTAATTACTTACCGCTTTATATAAAGCTTTCTACATGTCCCATCATTATCATGTACTTGGAAATAAATGTCAACATACCTGTATTCCTGTAAAATTGTATTTACCTTTACATAAGTGTTAACCTGTTTATATAAGTCAACATAACTGGATGTCTGTATATTTACCTGTATATTTACCTGTATATTTAGTATATTTACAAGTATATTTACCTGTATATAACTGTCAATATACACCTGACCATACATACTAGTGTCAACATAATTAACATTGGAAGGCATATAACATAATTAACATTGGAAGGCATATAACATAGTTAACATTGGAAGGAATATAACATAATTAACATTGGAAGGGCATATAACATAATTAACATTGGAAGGCATATAACATGATAGTTTTAGCATTAACGTCTGTGCCTAAAACTTTTACATGTATTTGAATGAAATATTTACCGCTGATATGTATTATTACATCTGACAGCTGGAAGGGATCTATGACCTTATAGACAGAATATATGTCCTTATAGAAAGTATCTATGACCTAGCTTATAGACAGTATCTATGTCCTTATAGAAAGTATCTATATGTCTTTATAGACAGTATCTATGTCCTTATAGACAGTATCTATATGTCCTTATACAGAGGGTCTAAGTTTATGAAGAAGGAACACTAAGTACCAAACTTACTTCAAAGTCTGACCCTAACATAAGTGCTTATTTTAGATCAGATTTGCCTAGAAAATCTGTGTAGCATGGAGGGATTGAGCTTATTGCTGAGCATGGGCTTATTGCTGAGCATGGGCTTATTGCTGAGCATGGGCTTATTGCTGAGCATGGGCTTATTGCTGAGCATGGGCATATCATCAGAAAATATGGGTGAATCTTAATATCCTAAACATATAAGTGTATCTTAGTATCCGCTCATGGTATGTGATGTTCACAGGAGATGACCATATATGATTAATGTTTAGACTGTGATGATCATGATTATTAGGTAAACTTACTAACGACAAAAACATACTTTGAAGACACCATTGACAAATGATACAACAAAGCAGATACGCTTAATGTAAAAATGTAAGGCAAAAATAGGTTATGGTACATACCTTGCTATATATTGTTTATGCTGTTAGCATACAATGATAACAATTTGATCATCCCAAGATTTACAGTTGATAGATACAGGAGTAAGCTGTCCACAGAATCATCAGCACATGACACACCTGTAGATCATGCAGTACCTCGTTACTATCCCGGTAACAGGTAACTTGTTTCACCCCTACATAAGTTATATACACTTAACACAATCCTCCCAGTATTGTCGTTTGTTATAAAACAGACTTGAAGGTAAATATGAAGTTGTGACTGTAGTCGTAGGAGCACAGGTAACTTTGTGATGTCACAGTCAACGGTCCACCTGGCATACCTGTAATCAGTAGTATATACCACACAGGCATGAAGGCCAATACACCCCCGGATGGGATACACATTGTGTTAAGGACACCCTCTCACTGTGTATAGCAGATTAATCGGAGGACATGCTCTCTCCACAGCTAGTGGCTCAGTCAGTGTCTCTGACAATCACAGTAAGGTTTAGCACAGAGCTATATATGACACTCAAACCTACAATACTCTACCCAAAATAAGGCCGACATCACAGTCAGCATTAAATAACATCATATAGTACTGAAAGAGAAGCAGTTAGTATATTACTGGGGATCTACATACTTACTTCAGGTTTCCAAATGATGAAACATTGTAGTCATAATACCGGCCAGGTACATGCTTGTACTATACTTGAACAGTTAGGTTAATAAGTGGGACTACATACAGCAAAGGCTTAAAGGACAAAAGATATTTATTTATATAGGGAAAGGTATTATAAATGACCTAGTGCTCCTACCCTAAAACATTCTATAGCAATACCATTACATTACATTAAACAACCAACAAGCCCCGTATCACACTACAATGTCGTTGCTGGTTTGTTGATGTCATTTATGATGATGTCACAATGGTTTCAGTGGATGCATGTCCTAACACTCTGGATCTGGCTGAGGTGATGCAGGTTAATTATGGAGATAAACAGGGATTTTTATCAGTTGTCTTGGATGACTGTTATTTTTAATTATTTTATCGCCTAATTCCTTATCTTATATCATTGCTTCTCAAAAATTAAAGCAAACAAACTCCAATTTAAATCAATTCTACAACTAGCAATATGTGAAAAATTAATGAAAGTGAATGAAACATTGCATCATGTTAGAGCCTGCATGTTGTTGTAATACGGGAGGAACGCAGGGCACCTCAACTTTGGCCACCCTTATTTTGTAATAAGGAAACAAATTATTTGAAAAACTCAAAAACAGCTCCAAAAAATACAAATACATATAAATGATGTAAACAAGAAAATTGCTTACCTTGGTAATGGGTTTCAGATGGCAGCAATTCAGGCTTTTATATTGCCTGCCATTGTCATCAGTAAAGAGCTCAAAGCTTTAACTCTAACAGATGTTATATACTATAGGGAACTACAGGGTACAAAGGGAATAAGTTAGGAGTAGATATAACTGGTGTATACAGATCCTTATAAATAAGAAAATAAGTTTTCATACCCATAGGCTAATACTTCAGAACAAAATACAAATGTAAACATGCTACTTCTATAATCACCTATACTATATATTGGCTGGTTGTATTATGCTTATAGGCAAGGAACAGCAAAGGATTAGGAAATTGTATTTTACTCAGAGGAATAGATTATCACATAACAATTATGACAGCCTGGTATTTAGTGGATTGTAAGTGTCGACAGAGAACCTGTATATATACATCTACCGTAACGTGTATGCTGCACCAGTTCTGTGTAGTAATCGACTTTAAAGGAGTGATGATAATTATCAGTCATATTTATGAAGGAGAGTTCAACTCTAAGCTGGTTATTTTTTACTTCAAGTAGTATCATAATATATACAAAAAGAAACAAGCAAAAGATGCTTTTCTGGTTTAGAATTATCTCCCTTTTCAAGGTACTTCACATCTCATTTTGATGCCATGCATTTGTAATCTCAGCAACACTGGTAAAGAGGAGAAGTGGCAATATACAGGTCCTAAGTTTGATCCATGCAGTTTTTATATTTTTCGATTTTCTTTCTTTTTGAAGAATACCATCTTTTATCACAAAACTGTAATTGTATAAAATGAAGATGTGATTTCTATGGGATACGTCACCTGTAAAAAAAGTACTTGAACAAGTTATTCTTAATAGAACATTTTTAAGTATGAAGAAAATTATGACTAGCTTTTTTTCATCCATTTTTTCTTGAAATTTGACAACTACACCTCTGAAATCTGTTATGTAACACACACTGTGTCTTCATTATATATCTAGCATGTTACCCACACTATTTGTATATCTAACAACGGGTTTATCTATTCAAATGAATGTTTCCTTGTTTTAGCCCTGGCTTATCATTTTTCCTGGAGGGCAATACATAACACATATACCAAACACAACTCACAACACTATATTCACTAAATGTTTTTCAGTACTAACTTAAAACCAATCAAGTATGAAACTTATCTTTAATTGCTTTGACCGAGTTTTCAGTTTATGTCACATAGCTTTCTAAACATGTATACATTTACCAACACCATACAATTTTATTTAAAGCTTTAAATTTCTTTATCCACAAAAATCTTAAGAAATAACAACTAATGTAACTTCTTCTCTGGAAATGAATGATAACTTAATATAAGATAAATCTTATTGACTAAACAGAGTGAATTAATTAGTTAAACGTTCTACCAACTGTACGTTAATAGCATTCCAATCATTTCCAGTCTAACAGTGACTAACCTGAGGCAATGGTGTCATTTCCAGTCTAACAGTGACTAACCTGAGGCAATGGGGTCATTTCCAGTCTAACAGTGACTAACCTGAGGCAATGGTGTCATATCCAGTCTAACAGTGACTAACCTGAGGCAATGGGGTCATTTCCAGTCTAACAGTGACTAACCTGAGGCAATGGGGTCATTTCCAGTCTAACAGTGACTAACCTGAGGCAATGGTGGCTTTTCCAGTCTAACAGTGACTAACCTGAGGCAATTGTGTCATTTCCAGTCTAACCGTGACTAACCTGAGGCAATGGTGTCATTTCCAGTCCAACAGTGACTAACCTGAGGCAATGGTGTCATTTCCAGCCTAACAGTGACTAACCTGAGGCAATGGTGTCATATCCAGTCTAACAGTGACTAACCTGAGGCAATGGTGGCTTTTCCAGTCTAACAGTGACTAACCTGAGGCAATTGTGTCATTTCCAGTCTAACAGTGACTAACCTTAGGCAATGGTTTCATTTCCAGCCTAACAGTGACTAACCTGAGGCAATGGTGTCATATCCAGTCTAACAGTGACTAACCTGAGGCAATGGGGTCATTTCCAGTCTAACAGTGACTAACCTGAGACAATGGTGTCATTTCCAGTCTAACAGTGACTAACCTGAGGCAATGGTGTGACAGAGATCAGGGAGAAAATGAGAAAAATGGGGTAGAAAATGTATCCTGATACAAGAGGCCCAAGGGCCTTAGCGGTCACCTGAGTTATATCATAGATACTGGTAGCTTTATTTTATTGTTTAGATGTGATGTGGAAATCAGCATGTAAACTAAGTGAAATACAATACTTGTCATGTCATCAATGGATAAGAATTTGAAAATATTGGTAAATGTTTCCTTTGGGGCCCCGCTCTAGCCCCTGGGGATGGGGCAGGAATCCTAATTTTACAAAGTAAAACTCTCATTTACCCAAGATGATTCTGACTAAGTTTGAGCAATTTTCTGCTGAAAATATATAAAATATATACCGAAAAGTGTTATTTCCCTATATAAACTATATTAAACGTTAACCCCTCCCCAAGGGAGAACGGATAGCTCGGGGTCCTGATATTTTCAATTTAAATAAAGCCCCTGATGATCTTTCTTTCCACGTAAAGAAAATCACTGTAGTACCTCTGAGTCTGGAGAAGAAGATTTTTGAAATATTGATTAATTTTCCCTTTGGGGCCCCGCCCTGGCCCCAGGGGTCGGGGTAGGAATCTCAATTTTACAATTTGAAACCATCTACCTCCAAGGATAATTCTCACCAAGTAAAAATAATTTCCTACAGAAAGTTGTCAAAATATACCCAAAAGTGTTATTTCCCTATATAAACTATAGTAAACTTTACCCCCTCCCCAAGGGAGAACGGATAGCTCGGGGGTCCTGAAATTTACAATTTAAGTAAAGCCCCTGATGATCTTTCTTTCCACGTAGAGAAAATCACTGTAGTACCTGTGAGTCTGGAGAAGAAGATTTTTGAAATATTGGATAATTTTCCCTTTGGGGCCCCGCCCTGGCCCCAGGGGTGGGGGTAGGAATCCCAATTTTACAATTTTGAAGCCTCATCTACCAAGGATGATTCTGACCAAGTTTGAAAAAAATCCATCCACTGGTTCTTGAGAAGAAGTTGAAAATGTAAAAGTTTACGCACGACGCACGACGGACGAAGGACGACGGACGACGACGGACGAAAAGCGATTGGAATAGGTCACTTGAGCAAAGCTCAGGTGACCTAAAAATGCTACATAGATTGTTCTATGGGAAAATATTTCCCATTCTGCTTTATAAAAGATAATATCACAACCATTATAACAGAGATTGAAATTAACATTAAACCATGGCATTTTCTGTTCACTGTAAAGCACTTTTCAAAATGGCAAAAGATTACCAGTTAACCCAAAAAAATAAACATTGGGTGAGGACATTTAATTATAATGTCCAGACACATGTGACCTTTGTACAGCAATATCACAATCAATATTGTTAATTACTAAAACATAGGTAACACATTATTGTATCTGCACTCCACCTTTCTGCATAAGAAAGATGCACCTGTCCCATGTGGAACATTGATGAATGATACATGTACCCCACATGGTTGCACTCAGTGACCATTACTATTAATGAGGTCAAAATCACGGTCAAAATCATCTTACAGCATTTAATTATGATCATGACATCACAATTAAAAAGTGTCCAAATGTCAATTGACTGACTGTAGCAATGCTGGTGTTGGTAAGTGTGACGTACACCACCACGGGAAAATCAGACTTGTTGTACAAGCTTGGTGTTGGTAAGTGTGACGTACACCACCACGGGAACATCACACTTGTTGTACAAGCTAGGTGATGGTATGTGTGACGTATACCACCACGGGAACATCACATTAGCTGTACAAGCTTGGTGTTGGTAAGTGTGACGTATACCACCACGGGAACATCACATTAGCTGTACAAGCTTGGTGTTGGTAAGTGTGACGTACTTAATTATGATCATGACATCACAATTAAAAAGTGTCCAAATGTCAATTGACTGACTGTAGCAATGCTGGTGTTGGTAAGTGTGACGTACATCACCACGGGAAAATCAGACTTGTTGTACAAGCTTGGTG